CTCACAAAGTTGGATAATACTAGAAATACTGTATATACGTTGGTAGTCTAATGTGCACATGTATAAGCTAACATGTGTATAGTTGCTTATATATATATATATGTGTGTGTGTGTGTGTCCTATCTATATGTTATGAAAAAGCTTTACTGCTTGTACAGAATAATTGATTTTAAATAAATTATTTATAATTATGAATACTATTAAAGCATAATTGCTGAAGTAAGACAAAGTTGACTTCAAACTGAAACCCCACCACAGCTCCACTCCTAATTCCTGATGAGGTCTTAGATATTTACCAGACCCCTAGCCTAGCTTTCAGGATTTTCAGAGCTTATTCTTATGGCTGATTGTCACAATAGTTGATAAGAACTTTTTTCTGTGGATGCAGGAATGTGAACATGCATTTCAATCCTTAAAAGCATGCTTTGATCAAACTGCCAGTGTTATCCTTGTTAAGACTGTACATTCATATTGTATGCTTATGCTCAGTGATAGTGGAATTGGAGCACTTTTATCACAGGTATAGGATGGTATGGAACATGTAACTATATACACCAACTACCTCTGAATGTCAATGCTGTTTGATAAAAGAAAACTTGTTTATAGTTAAAGTATTTGTCAAACATTACTGCCATTAGTTGTATGGCAGGAAGTTAACATTTGAGTTGACAATACACCTATTAATTAGTTGATGAACTAATCTGAAAGCGATGACTGTGTTTTGGATAATGAAGCTGCTAGAGTAAGATCTTCACTGTACAACACCATCCAACTGAGTAACATGGAAATACTGATGGATTATTTCATCCAATAGTGACAGTGTTTCTTGATTGTTTGGAAACTGAACACATTGATGATTCTGTTTGTCAATGGACACCACAAATGACCAGTCAGGTACTTGGGGAGGAGCATATGAAGGATCCATTCATAGTTGAGGCATTACTTGTCATGCAGTATGACAATCAAAAACTAAAGATGTAGTTAGAATTAATTAAATAAGACAATTTTTATTCATAAACAGTTTAAAACTTGTTAAGAGTACATGTGTGGATGTGACTAACACTTCAAAATTTGTATAGCATTTAAGAAAAGTTTTTAAACTGTGCACAAATAATTGTTTTGATTTTAATTAATTTTAACAATAATATATATGAAATTATCAGCAAATACAAATGTCGTTCTGATGCATGTAAAATCTGACAGATGAAAAGTTAGTTATGAGTGAAGGTTTACATGCTGCGCTATCATTGTGAACTACTGAGGAATGGTAACCAACCTTTGATACAGCTATTGGTTCCCAAAGCTAGATGGCAGGATATGCTTTGTAATGCAAAGATTATAAGGTACTGTGGTGTGAAACACCACTACAAAAATGCAGAAGTGGTTTACCTAGCCACATATGAGTAAAGACATTGAACAATGGTAAGCACACTCTACCACATGTGCTGTCCAGATGAAAAATAGGCCACATCAGGGGAAAGCACAGGCACAGAGTTGTAGACTCCCCTGTGGAGAATCACCTTAAATCTATAAATATAACCATTGTTCTGCACAAATATGAGAGCATTAATCAATATGTATTAGTCCTTATCAATTCCTTCATCAGGTGGCCCAAAGCTTATCCATCAGTCAACGTAGTCCAACGTAGTTAACGTAGTCCATCACAGACATACTAGTTGAACGATTGATAATAACATATTATCTGTAAAGACTGTTACAGATTAAGGGCTTTTTGCAGTGTCCTCGAGTTTTGGGTGAAAATGTAAACTTCACTTTATTATTCTTAATATAATGCTTTGATTGATTGAGTAGTGCACACTATAAAGTATATGTTTGTAAAATATGACCAAATTGATTGGGATAAGTACCTACTATACACATGGTGGTGTACTATGAAACTGAACAAAGTTGAAGATTGTTTTCTAAATCTCTTAATGTTCAGAAGAGAAGTAGTGGATCTGAAGTTTACTATCCACTCGGTACAAATGTATTAAAACAGTCGGACAATAATGGAAGGACATTTTGGACCTGGCAGACATGTTTCGCTTCAGTATGTGCCTGCAGTACCTCTACAGATTGGTTCTTGATGGAGTGGTCCATTTATTATGTGTTGACAGCTCAACAAGGTTAAATATGATTTTGATGATGCACTTAAATGCACAGACTTAAACTCTACATCGCTAATGAACTTCTCAGGATCTGATTATTACATGAATAAAATGAGGAAAATAAGTTTGACTCCAATGTGCCATATGATCTTGGATCAACTGATGAAGAGAAAGATAAGGACAGTAATATCTGACAGTTCTCAAACTGTCAGATGAGGAAACACTGGTAAAAGATCAGTGTTTGCAGCTAAAATGATCGACCAATATGCTACCACTAATCATTAGGATTGACTGTCTGATAAGCAGTTATTATTGTCATTTTCTTGAAAAATCATTTGTCGTTTCTTCCTTCATGAGTTGTGGAGTGGAGTTTCACAGTAAATCTTGATACTTTCTCATCAACATCTACTTTGAATGTGTTGAACATTAGTTATTCGGTTCAGTGTCTTATACAGCCCAACTACTCTTCTTGCTATCCAGAACTTCCATTTCAACAGCTCTTTCAGTTTCTCTAGGAATAGTACATATTGTTCTTAGAATGGTTTCTGGTTTCCAAATGGAACGTACTTCAGGAAAGTCACTACTCTCGTGTATTTTATTAAGAAACTTAGTTAGTTATACTTCTATGGCTTGACTTTTCTTTGAAGTCATTTTCAGACTCTCTGTTATGTTTAATCTTTTTACAGAAACCGTTTTTCATCATTTGGAGGTGGTTTTGGAAAAGCTGTTCCATTTAAGATGATAGTATTCATTAGCCAACGGTCTTTTGATCTCATAAAGAATTTCGCAGGTTCCAAGATGTCCTCTTGTAGATTATTACCACATTTCCACTAAACAGGATCTAGCTTTCTTTCGATCATCAGCACAATTCTGGTTTCTTTTATCATCTACATTTGTAACTCATCCTGCTACATTCAACTTGATAATACACCTTTTTAAACATCAATATTCCACTACCATCGTTCTTCATGCTTGGTTTATATAATTAGAAGAACGAGACTTTTCACAATTTCAATCAGTTTAATCACCCTCTACTACTGAACATTTACCTTAATAGTGTAATAATCCAAACGGAGTGTCTTTTCAGAGTAGTGCTATAGCCAAAGGTTTTGTTTTCTTTGTTTCTGCTTCATTAAGTCATTGAGTGCTTTCATGTCTCCAAGCACTGATCAAATATTTTGTTTGAACCTCTTATGTAGGACACCCTTCTTCTACTCCATCTTTTTTCCTGATTGGAACGGTCTTCAAACCTTGTTTTGATTGCCATTCGAATTCTCGATCCTCCTCTGTTGCATTGTTGTTACTTTCTTGTGGTATTCATACTCCACATTATCTCCTGGAATTTTCTTCCGGCTTATTCTGTAGATACTTGGTTTATACTCGGAAATAGAGAAAGATAATTACACTTCTTGCTATCGTTTCTTTTCCCCTCTTATTCTTACTAGTTCTAACATATTTGCAGATCCTCTTTCTCTGTTTTGATATTTTCAGGGTTCCTTCTAAGAGTATTTGGTAGGTCTGCTGTATAACAAAAGGATAAATCAAGTGATATTGAATTCAACTGAACTGAGTTTTAGCAAATAAATTGAAAACGATGTGCAACACAACAAAAACAATCTTTCTTGATCAAAGACAACTAACACAGTGTGTGTACTTGTGAGAATAAATAAACTGAAAACGATATGTAACACAATAAAAACAACCTTTCTTATCAAATACAACTAACACAGTGTGTGTGTACATGAGAGAATATATATACTGGAAGCGATGTGTAACAGTTACACAATAAAAACAACCTTTCTTGATCAAATACAACTAACACAGTGTGTGTGTACTTGAGAGAATAAATAAACTGAAAACGATGTTTAAATGTGGGATTTACCAATAACGACGTGACACGTACTTCTCATTCAAGCCTCGAGATATCATCCGTCCTACCATTGGAGAACACTGGGTGCCAATATTCTTACACAACATGCAACCTTATAGCATTCATTCATGGGCTAAACTGGTGTGACCTTAAATGAGTACTGTAGATCAAAGGCAGCTGGAACAAAATCAACTGAATGACTCTTTTTGACCACGTGATTTGCGAAAACTGCACAGACAAGAAATCTGACACATTCTATAATAGAATACATACAACACTATGAAGCTTGTATGGTGCTATACTGCTAGAATTCGTTACTTTGATAGGTCCCTCGGATGTTTTAATGTCTTAAGAATAATCTGTTACCAGATTCTCCCCATGTGCAACTCTTTCTGCCACTCAGTTTGAAAACATTTCATTATTCAACCCCAGAAGAGATTGTAAAATCTTACTTCTTAGCAGCAAGACGATTTTACTTGCTTACAAAGGAGAGAGATGTGGCATGTTGTCTTCACCAAAGGAGAAACAAATAATGAACAGCACAAAGTACACAATAGTTTAAGTTCATCATGTGTCTTCCCATAATTATACACAATAGTTTAAATTCATCACGTGTCTTCCGTAATTATACACATTAGTTTAAGTTCATCATGTGTCTTCCTGTAATGTTAGATTTGCCCATTTTTCAGTAATTATGTGGGAGTAAAAAATGCTACAAAAAGCATAATTTTAGGCTCGTATTTCGGCCAATGTATATGAGATTTGGTACAAAGTTACTTTTCTACAGGGCCCATACATGTACATACAAAAATGTGGAATATACACATTTTTGGTTATTTTAGGGTGGTCAAAAGTTTAAATAAACCCATAATTTTAGTGGTTTTGGTCAATTACATAGCCTTGTTTCAACCAACTTACATGCAATTTGGTACAAAGACAGTCTTTGCAGGTCTCAAACAGAGATATAAACAATTTTGGAATTTTTGTCATTTGCACATTTGTTCAGCAAGGAGAGCACAATTTGGAGATTTTGTGAATTATTGATGTTTATGTCAAACAACTTACATGCGTGTGTCAACCAATTATTCATGTGTATGTCAATCAATTTACATAGGATTTAGTACTAAGATACCTTCTTGCAGGTCCCAAGCAGTGATATAGACAGTTTTGGATCTTTCTGGTGTCAAAACTGGCCATGTTGCTAAAGTGGCAGAGACATGTTGCATTCGCCCATGAATGTTGGCCTTTTTAATTATCTTGTTTAAAACCTGAACACACTTCGTTAATCCAGTTAAATATTTTGATACTGGGAAAGAAAACGGATAAAAAGAGCGATTTTTACCACTCTTTGATTGTTGGTTTGTTTCGTTAACTTTTCGCGAAAATCCTAAAAAATCAAACTCTCCTATCTTAGATGAGTTTACAAACTCTCATATCTTAGATGAGTTTACAAAGTCTCCTGTCTTAGATGAGTTTACAATATATCCTACCTCAGATGAGTTTACAGTCTCTTATCTCAGATGAGTTTACAGTCTCTTATCTCAGATGAGTTTACAAAGTCCCCTACCTTAGATGAATTTACAGAGTCCCCTGTCTTAGATGAGTTTACAAAGTCTCCTACCTTAGATGACTTTAAAGAGTCTCCTACCTTAGATGAGTTTACAGTCTCTTGTCTCAGATGAGTTTACAGAGTCTCCTACCTTAGATGCATTTACAGAGTCTCTTGTCTTAGATGCATTTACAGAGTCTCCTCTCTTAGATGAGTTTACAAAGTCCTCTGTCTTAGATGACTTTACAGAGTCTTCTGTCTTAGATGACTTTACAGTCTCTTGCCTCAGATGAGTTTACAAAGTCTCCTACCTTAGATGCGTTTACAGAGTCTCCTGTCTTAGATAAGTTTACAAAGTCTCCTACCTTAGATGAGTTTACAAAGTCTCCTACCTTAAATGAGTTTACAGTCTCTTGTCTCAGATGAGTTTACAAGGTCTCCTGCCTTAGATGAGTTTACAAACTCTCCTACCTTAGATGAGTTTACAAAGTCTCCTACCTTAGATGAGTTTACGCTACCTTTACTTCAATTATATATCAAGTGCTTCATCTACTGAACATATTTTGATAAGATAATACGTAGTACAAATTCGGTGTTGTTGTGGGCTATATTTTAATATTTTGTTCACTAGAGGGAGTTTTTACACAATGTAGTAATAATGTTACGACAGCGAAAGTCACATGACGCTGGGAGCATGCGTGGTTAATTTCTCGAATAATCGGGGAGCTCCGCGAATGTTGGAGTTGCTTCTTTGTTAGTATATAAGCCTGGCATAGAAAAGCCAGGGAGCTAAGCGAACAGTAGTTACGGTGATTTCTGTTTAATTTATGATTCTGTTAGTTTCGAGCTAGTAAGCCGTAAAGTGTGTGTTTTGCACTCGTAAAGAGCGAAGTTATCGAGGTTGTGTATCGCTGTGATTTATAGCGTGTATTATAAAAGTTGTTAAGTTTAAAGTGATGAGAAACGTACTGACTGTGGAATTACTGTGTACTAAAAGTTTGTATCGAGAAAGAATAAACTGGTTTAATCAAGAAAGGACTTGTATCGCTGAAGTTCCTCGGAAATAATTTCTACCGGAAATTAACAAACAAGCAGAAACGTAACAAATTGGTGTCAGAGAGTGGGACAGAAAAGAAAAAAAAAAGAAGATGGAAAAGAGAAGTGGCAAATCAAGTTACAGCTTAGCAGATTTGATGGCAGCAATACAAAAACAGCAAAAGAAACAAGAAGAATGATAAAATAAACAAGAAAAGAGACTACAGCAGTGGTTGGAGGAGAAAGAAAATAAACAAGAAGAGAGACAACAGCAGTGGCAAGAAAACCTGCAACAGTGGCAAGAAAACCTGCAACAGTGGCAGCTCGAACAGCAAAAGAGAGATTACAGCAGTTGTTGGAGGAAAAAGAAAAGAAACAAAAAGAATGAGAAAATAAACAAGAAGAGAGACTACAGCAGTGGTTGGAGGAGAAAGAAAAGAAACAAGAAGAGAGATTACAGCAGTGGTTGGAGGAGAAAGAAAAGGAACAAGAAGAGATACTACAGCTGTGGCAAAAAAACCAGTAAGAGTGGCAACTGGAACAAGAAAGGAAACAAGAAGAACGAGAAAAGAAACAGGAAGGAAGTCTCCAACAGTTGCGGGAAAGTCAGCAGCAACTACAGGAAAGTCAGCAACAGTGGCAAGAAGTACAAATGGAAAAGATTAGTAAATTTCAAAGTGAATTAAATTTACTGTCTTTTACACAGGGAAGATATCTTAGCCATGGACCTGATCAGCCGCAGACAACAGGAAGCTCTTCCAGACCCTGCAGCTAAACCCTAATGCAGACATGAGTGTCAGCAATAGGGGTGATCTAGTACGAAGGAAGCCACAGGAATTCGATGGGAAGGCACCATGGGAAGCATAGAGAGCACAATTTGAGCTCCTGTCAGAAATGAATGAATGGACAGAGGAGCAGAAAGCAATGTACCTGGCAACGAGCCTGAAAAGACAACCACTGGAAATACTTGGACAGTTGTCAGCATACGACAGGCACAACTATAGAGCACTGGTAGCTGCTCTAGAAATCAGGTATGGAACTCAAAATCAGTCCGAAGTCTACAGGGCTAGGTTTAGGACTAGAGTCTGTGCTGAAGGGGAGAGCCTGCGAGAGCTGGCACAGGATTTGGAAAGTATGGCACACAAGGCCTACCCAACCGCACCACCCGATGTTCTCAAGCTGTTGCTGAGGGATCAGTTTGTAGATGCCTTGGACAGTCCACAACTGAAGATACAAGTAAAGGAAGACACCCCTCTACTATGCAGGATACAATGGCCAGAGCTCTTGAATTTGAATCCTACGTTAAGTCCAGCACAGAGGTACCAAGGTTGGTACAGTCATCAGGATTCAAGGCCAGAAAAGGGCAGCTTTCAGAGAAGTTTGAGGGACTTTGCTGGCACTATAACAAACCTGGGCACAAGAGAGCTCAATGCTGGCAACTTCATCACAGGAAAGATGTCACGGCAGGAAAGGCAGCTACCCAGAAAGGTTGTTGGAACTGTGGAGAGCAAAAACACATGAGGAGCCAGTGTAAGAAGAATATTACCAATAAGTCAGCTTCAGGAAACCAGTAGTGGTTGGTGCTGAGAGACACCCACCAATCTCCATTGTGAAAGTCCCTATAGCTAAGTG